TGGTGCGTTGATTTTTTTGTTATAGAGTGTATATTCAGATTAATGAATTCCGAAAAAACGAGGTTCTGCTATTATAATTCGTAACAAAATCTACTCAAACCAGTATATTTTTTGTTCTTATTTCTACTAACAGCACCTTTAAAATTAAATATACATATTAAATTCATTATTGTATTTAATATTACTAATTTTGTACTAGAATGCTTATTTAAGCTCTCTATGCTTTTTAATCTTTTACAAACTTCAATTTTAATAATCGTTCGATCATCAAGTAGTTAATTATATAAGAAGTTTTTTTTTCAAGAAAATGCTACTTTAAATCCGGATTTTAATTAATTAATATTTATTCAAAAAGATATCTTGAAAAATTTCTTTCGTTTTCAATTTATTTTTATTGTAGCAGTAAAATAATTCCTCTTCCGTGGTATTAACATTGAATTAGGGCTGACTTTTATGTTAATAATTATCTTAGTGATCTTTATCTAAACAACAACCTTAATAAATACTAAATGACAATATTAAAACTTTATGTCACTTGCATGCAAATAAATAAATAAAGTACTTAAGCCCTTCCCGAAGAAGTGTCACTAGATGAAAGACACTTTTACTTAGCGTTTCGGGAACATTGTCCCACTAAAAAAAACATTGAAATAATTGAAAAGCTTGAAATGAAAAATCCAATTAAATCTTTGGTGCACGTAAAAAAATTGCATTTTTCACTCCGTCTGCACATTTATTTTTCAGTTTATTTTTTAAAAAAAGGGGATCAGTAATTTAAATTAGATGCAGTCTTATTTTAGGGAAAAATCCATAAAAACAAATTTTTAATGAATGAAAAAGCTCTGTGTAGATTCAGATCTAAATTGAATGCGGGTTAACCCTATGGGGGATGAAAAGACCAGGAAAAGAAAAGGAAAAAAAATAATCGAAGAGAAAACTTAATTGAGTGAGGAAACAATATCTCTTATTGCTGGCTCGGCATTGTGTTTTCTCAAATCAAATTCCTCTCTTTTTCTTTCTTTCTTAAGGATTTGAAAACATGAGCATGGTTTTCCCAAATACCTTTAAAAATAGTGATTAATTTTTTTTTCCTCATTTTATTTTTGGAAGAATAAGAGCTATCTAAATACGTTTTGAAATTTCGTATTCATTTTTTAATGAAAATTTCTAGAAAGTTGTATTAAGTAATATTACATTTAATGCCATGAAATGAGTTTTTTTTTTAAAAAAAAAGAACATTGATTTAGATTTCCTCTTGCGGTATAATGATATGGTAAAAAAAAATTTTTCGAAATTGTAGGCAATATTTTCATAGCTTGCGACGTTTATTTGAAGTCTGGGTAATAATTCATTTTGTATTTTGAGATGCGTTCCACTACTAAAATTTAATCTTGAAACGTATGATGTTTTCGCTTAACTGCTAAGGCAAATTTAATTTAAATTTCTGTTATAATGCACATTTTTAAAGAGTGTTGAGAAAGAAATGATTTTTTTTTCAAATTGAGAAATAAATTTATATTAGATTACGCAGCAGACATTATCCTTAATATTGAGTGTAAAAGTCTAATTTCGAAACTGAACAAGCATACCATACTATCAATTGTTCTAAAATATAACTAAAACATTCATTAAATTGAATTTAAGAATTTTGATAATCTATTTTCTTACAAACGGGAGACCAACGTGTAAGAATTTCAAGTATTATATGAGATGATTTATATCTCTTTCTCATTTAAATCTTCCTTCTTTCACATTCATTTCTTCATATTCCAAACTGTTTTTATTATGTTCATTCCCCCACCCCCTTTCAATTCATCAATTTGCCTTGGATTAGAGATCCAGAAAATGAGCATCCGCATAAGTAAAATCTGTAATAAGTAAATGAAAATATTTGCCAAATGGAATGGCTTAAATGAGAAATGATCCTGTTTACCTTCTAAGAAAAGAAGACCTGTTAAAGGAAAGTTTTTATATAGTTTTTAATTAGTCAACTGCCAAAAGCCCAATTTCAAGTTTATGTCTTCTACTTGCGGTAACAGACATGAAATGAAAGGTTCAATCTTGCCTCTTTTTTGCAAGTATTTGGATAAAACAGGGCAGCACCGTTAGCTTTTAAAATCATAGTATCTGCTGTCTACCTTAAATTATCCGGACAACCAGTGGTTCTAACTTGAAGAGTTCTGTATCATGTTTAAATATGATGTTGGTCCACTTTTTACATCGATGACAGTTTGAGCTCGTCAAAGATTTTCCACCAGTTTTAGATAAGTGATCCAGAGAATTGACTGTCAGGTGACCATCGCATCTGAAGTAAGTGGTGGCAATGAAGATGACTCATTTCGCTCTCTACCTAACTTTTGGCTCTAATTCATCCAAACTGGGCTCGATGGAATTTATTAAAAGGCTCTGCGAATGCCTGGCCAGAATACCCATTTCAATAAAATTGGGCAATTATCCTGCTCTTGCTGGAAGAGAAATGGTCCTTTGCCGAAATATTGCAACGGAAATCTCCGAATTCATGTTTCCAACCACAAGAACTAAAAAATCCTGGGCAAAAATGAAAAACGCCTTCATACTATAAGACACTCTATTTCTTTAAGTGAATGTATGGAAACTTTTAGCCAGGTAGTGTATTAGACAGTTAAATATCTTTTCTTAAGTTTTTTGGAAGCTCTTTCGCCAATAATAGTATAAAAAAAAACTATAGTTTAAGTGAAGCTATAATTTTTTACACTTAACACTTGAAGTATAGCTATAATTTTATACTGTATATGCCACCTTGCTGTAAAGAATTATCTGGGCTTTAGAACGAACAAATAACTAAAATATTTCGAAGGTTTTTAATTTTTTTTAAGAAATTACCCATTTGGCAGCATTTTTTCATCTAGATGAAAATTATCAATATAAATGCCTTACTCCCATTTTTTGCAAATTTTATTATGAGCCCAGATAAGGCGAAAGTGGAGTAAGTTTCTAAATATTAAAAAATTAGACATCAAACATTTTTCATTTTCTCAAAAATGTGGCTTTTCCCCCATATTGACGTTTAAAGCCACTTTGAGAATAAACATAGAGGCCGCTGGCTAAAGATAGGCTAAACTTTGCCTTACGGTCATGTGCAACTATTACTAACTCACGTCAGTTATGAAAATAACATATTCGCAAAAAAGCATTATTTCATGCGACTACGATCCTTCGAAAAACAGCTTTAGGTAAAATAATTTAACTAGGAAATAAATCTAATTTAAGATGTCTAAAAGATTATCACTTATTATTATTAATATCGATTTTGGAAATACTGAAATTAATTGAAATTGTCAAACTGGAGAAGGTTTTTTTTCTCAATGCCCACCACGTTTGGAAACATATGGTCTTGTGGTGCATAACGGGTAGCATTGTTGATCTCTTTTTCGTGGTCACTGTATGGGTGGATCAACGTCACTCCAACAACACAAGAATGATATTTAGAACAAATACACACACAGAGTGAGAAGTTATGTCTATGCCCGAAGTGAAATTCGAACCCAGGACCTTCTTGGTATGAGATCAATTCCTCGACCACTCATGTATACAGTCAGCAATTAGAAGTAATATTCAAAAATAAAATTCAGAAATCTAAACGATTTTTTAACAATTGGAAAACTAAAATGGAAGGCGAGTTGTTCGACGTAACTTACATAACAATATTAATCTGTAACGAATTAATTTTCTAAATAATTGACAAATCATGTATCAACAAATCAAAATCCACCTAAGCGAAATCATTTTTTATTATACCCCCAAGTGACCGATTCTTGTATTTTTCTTCCAATTCCTTTTTAAACTCGTCCCTCTTTTTTTTCTCCTCAAAACAAACTGAAACATTTCTTGAATGGTGAAGAAAGGGGAAAAAAATTCCCTCTCATCAGTTACCTCCTAGGTATTCGATATAAAAGAAATGCGCTAGGTTGCAATTTTTTTTCCCTATCACAACCTTCTGTTTTAGATTTCAACCTGGGATAAAGCTGGATTTAGATGAAGACGCCTAGCTGCGAGAATAGGAACAATAATAAAACTAAGATTGCGAGTAAGAGTAGTCGGTAGGGATTTAAGTTCTAACAAAAGGGCATGATTACATGGTGAAGGGCAGGTTGTGAGATAAACCCTTTGGAATTCGTTTTTTTGTTTAGGTCTTTCATTTTTTGTTTGCTCTCGTGTTCAACATATTTTAAAAAAATTATTGATATTGAGTAATTGTGTAAGGAGGCGATAAATAAATATCAAAGAGACAAAATTTCAAGTAGTTAATTAGTATATTATTTTTCAGGTGCAAAAACTGTTTTATACTAAAATTAGTTTTTTTTTTAACTTTACGATTATCTATTACAAAATATATCTATTTAGATAGTTTATAACCGTCGATAAACAGCCGACCCAATTCTGAGTTTACGATTCCCAATGCTCAACTACGTACCCTTGTAATTTTGATCCCAATCCAGAAGACAAGGGAACTCCTGGATCAAGTAATGTGTGAAATTCTGCTTTCGTTGAAGACTTTCTGATGGAACTGACCCGAATTTGCGTTACATGGAACCTCCAACGAGAGCCTCCAACGGTTAGCCTGGCGGCAAGGGAACTCTAACCCATGATTCATCTACCACTGAGAATATTTTACGTCAGCACTGTGGTTGGTGCGAGCCGGGTGTGGAATTCGTTATCGACCAGCTATCGCTGGGATTCGATCATTGGTCATCACATTGGGACGATAATGCTCTAATCCCTGAACCACCATTGCTCTCTCTATTTAACTACTCTATTTCTTAAGAAACAGATTATACATTAATTTACTTAGAAACAGAATGTGATGATTGTTAAAATGTTTATGGATTTATATTTTTTTCTTTAAAATGAAGTTAAATCCTTAAACATAACAGGATTTTCTTTTATCTGCGTTTAAAGCAGAAATAAATTTTTTCAGGAACTCCTACCTATTTTATAATAAATATTGTCTTTATTTTTAGGTGACTGTCATATATCTTGGTCTCTTTACTTACTGTGTATTGGAGTTGGAATACTACTGGTGTGCGTAGTTCTGTCTCTGAAGGCCTCTAGAGTGAAACCGAACTCTTTCCGCATTTGACACCACCAGTCCGCGCCCGCCACTTTCCACCAGCAGCAACAGCACCATCGCCACCAGCAGTTGCGATTCTTCCGCCGACATCACCGTCCGCGACAGCAACAGAGCTTTGAGATGCAGATTCAGCATCTGGACGAGGAAGATATCGCCACCATCACTCGCAGCTGACAGAGGGTTCTACCCACTCCCAATGTTGGGGTGAAGGACACTCGTCGAAATTTTACTCTTCAAAGGACTAAGAAAAAGGACAAAAAGGAGGACAAAGTATGGACTGCCTCTTTGTAGCCACCGTTGTCCACCCATTCAGTTTAGCTGGAAAGATTTTTTTTACCCCACACACATTTACCAATCGTCGGCGTCAGTATCTAAAAGCAGTTTGACATTGCATTTTCCAATGACTAATACCGGGTAATCCCTAACATTGGTCACAAAATCTTCCATTAATCTTCTATAATTCGAAATTCGATGTCAGATTCTAATATTCGATGCAAAATTTTCAGTTTATGTCGCATTAATATTTCGGAGCTAATTTTTTCATATGTTGTACCATATAAACGAAGATACCAAATTTGTAATTCTTAACCACATTTCTTAGACGGAAAAGAGTTTGTAACTGGTTTTTATTTCTTTTCCTAAAATGGTATGTTCGGTTTAGAATTTACAAATAAAAGTATCAATCTGCTCACTGCTTCACCATGTCTCAACGTTTTCTCTTGTATTCAAATTATCTAACAAGAAAATACTAGTCCATTAACTACGAGTCAGAGATCGGCATATGATTAGTTGGCAGTTTTTTTAAATTTATTTTAACAAAATATGAATGGAATATCAATATTCATGTTGGTGAACTTAATTTGAATTGATTGAAAAATCCATAAATTAGAAAATTGCAAAATTGCTGTTAGTTACAGAATCATACCGTTGTCTCTCTAGTCGATTACAATGAGCCGCAAAAGTTTGTGTCAAGCATTGTATATTTTTTCTGTATCAAAGAATATTATACTAAATTCGCCACCAATTAAAAAGAATATATCCGCATTAGATAGAGTTTATACATATATTACCAACCGCGTAGCTAACGTTAACATGTTATTAAGTTTTATGCAATGAAATTAAACAGTTTATCTGAATAATCTTAATAACAAAATTTTAAAAAATAAGGCAAATAGATGTTAAAAATAGTTTTTTAAGTAAAATATATAATTTGTTTGTCCCTTATATAAGAGGCATGAATAGTATATTCTATTTAAAAGACAAATTATTTCATTTGTTTGTCTCTTAAATAAGAGAAAAGTTTATCATATTCCTCATTTAAGGGAAAAAAATCATATTGAAATGAATTGACTGCCTACAAATCACTGCTATAATCTAATACTGAACGAAAAAAAAAGATCTTTCCAGTTTAGTAGAATGATTAGCCACTTATATTGGCTACCTTTTTTTCAAAATAAGAGAAAAAAATCGACCTACCTCTTGAAGGGTATAAGGCTACAAATATACATCAAACATTTCCAAAGAAAACTAACTTCTTACTGGTGCAAGGTGGGCGTGTTCAACATAATAAAATGAATACTGTACTGCCACTGTAGAATTAGGAAAAAAAATTGATTATTATTCGATCGCCAAGAACAAACTTTTTTTACAAAAACTTGTAATAAGGATTGTAAACAAATTCGAAGAAAGTCCAGCTAACAATTTTGCTATATGTCAACTACTTTCGCATATTTGAAAAACAAAAAGCGACTAGCTTTGAGAGTTTTTAAAAGAAAGATTGTAATATAAATAATACTGTTCAGAAACTATTTGTAAATTTTATTCCATGTGATTTTATATTTGTATCAATTTGCAATGTTTCGCATGTTTTTTAAGGCTTGATAGTATTGGCTGTTATGAAAGTTTTAAAATTTAATTGTTCTTATTCTGTTTGAAATGGATATTTTAAACATTGTACAAGAAACTATATCATTTCCTATAGTTACATGAAATTACCTACAATGTGAAAAAATAAAAAATGAGATATAATTAATGGTACATAATATACCTCCACAACGAATAACACTAAGGAACAAATTTTTTGTTGCATTTTCACAAATACTTGATCTTTTTACTTCGGGTGTTGGGATTACAAATCTGAAATTAGTTTTGTTATTAAATCTCCAATTTTTTTTAAATTGGGGTCGACAAATACAACAGGGGGTCGAGTAAATATTGCGACAAATTTTTAGGGGAGTTAAGGGACATCATCAGGATTGAAATTTCATTGGAAGCTGTACCCAGAAACATTTTACTCGGCTGGGGGTACTTCCCCTATTACGACCTGTTTAAAAGAAGACGAAGAAACAGTTATTAATAGAGAAGCGCTCCTAGAGGCGTATGATGGCATTTTTTCTTCTGATATATAACGTTTTCAAACTTGCGCATTTCAACAAAAATGGTCTAAAAACGTAGCTCAGAGAAGCAGATTGCAAATTTGATAACAGCGATACAGAAGTATCTAAGATATGTCATGCAACAGAAAAAAAATTGTTCCCTGGTATAATCTATAAATATTGCCTTCAAAAATGCATTTTTATTAATATGGACATATTAGGTAATGTATTTTTGGCCCGTAAGATTATTGCTCAAAATCTTTATACATTTACACTTTTAGTTTAGTCGTTAAAATATTCCAAGCTCAAACATACTTGCAACTGTCAATTACCCCCATAACTCGCTTAAAACTAAAGTTCTGGTATTACATTTTATAAATAAAAAAATTACCAATAGAAAATCATTGAAAACAGTTTACTTTAATTTTAAAAAATAATATCACTTATAAAATGAAATCGCATTATTATTTTTTATAGAAAATTGGCCTAGATGTATATGTTTATTAAAATGTTATAAAGCAAATAAAATGTTAAAAAAAACTGGCTTTTTGTTTATAAACATCTCTTTTATGCATTCCTAGCTTGAATTTCTAGTGAAGTGTTCCTAAACATTGAATGTCTTTTATTAATTTCTAAATTGAGAAATTCGTTTCAGTTATTCATTGAAGTGTGCTTTGTATCTCTTTAAATTATATTTTTAATGTTAAATTGTAAAAAATTGCATAGGTTTAGATTAAAAAGATTCCCTTCTTTATTTTTATTCTTTTGCAGGCCAAAAAGAATTGTAACCAACTTTTTTACGAAAAAAAAAATGTTTCCTACGAATTGTCCTACATTTCACTCCGTTTTATTACTCAATTTTTTTTTAAAATTTTGCTTAAAAATATGAAGGGCAATGCACTGATAAGCAGTACTTTTTTTAATCTAACATGTTTGCGCCAAACGTTCCTTAGTATTGTTTCCAAATCGGTGCATGTTTCCAGAATTTGAACCAGATAACAGCATAACACTCAAAAATTTCTTATTATCCATATTGAAATCGTCTCTCCAAATATGCTCAAATTTGAAAATGCGGCATATTATTATATTGTCTTCACAAATAAGACATATAATTATATTGATTAAACGGTTAACACTTTTCTTGATATTTCCCAACAATGTCTAAAAGTTTTTCAAGCGTTTTGCATTGTATGGAAAAAAATAACTTACAGATTTTTTTTCAGTCGAAAAATTATTCAAAAAGAAATGAAACAATAAATATTATGTTTTTGCAGAACAAGTAAATTTATATTCTATGTGTATATCTTATATTATATAAGAGTTCGAATAATTTACTCCTAAAGAAATTTCGATAAATTTTCGTTACTTATGCAATTTAGAATTTGGAAACTAAATAATAACAAAATTTTATAACAAATAAAATCTTGGAAACTAAAATGTATTATTATTTTAAAATAAGTCATTTAAGTTTGTAATGATTTTATTAGAATTAAAGGAATTATTAGTATTTGTTATATTATAAAAAATGCTGCATACAATAAATTTGTCTTTTAATGATTTTTAAGAAAATAAATGTTTCATTTTTTATTGGAAAAACTATTTGTTTGGATATTGTTTTATAAATTTAAAACTATAACCTCCATTCAATAAGTAAACATAATGGTTTGCAATTGAATATAATGTTTGTAAAAAGCACATTTATATTAAAAGCTACTTAATTAAAAATAAAGGCTGAAATTTTAAGAGATAAAATAGCACTACATTTTGTTAAGTACTATCAATCGGACTATTAGGAAATATAATCTGATTAATTTATTATTAATGAAGATAAAATATAAATGTAAACAATGATAGACGGTTTGCCGATAAGTTTTAATATATCTGCTATTTTTTTTTATTTAATTTTATATCTGCTATAAAAAGGAAGAAGTTTAAAAGAAATTGCGTACTTCTAAGAACTAAAATATTCTAGTCTCGGTCTAAACTTTTTAAGTTGAAATAAAAAAAAATTATATAGTAGATATATTTCTGATTCTTCTAAATTTACATTTCTGATTTGAAATTAATTTTCTTCTGAAAGGAAAAACATGTTTTAAAATTGCCCTTGCTTGTATTTTAGGTCAGTCCTATCATAATATTATCTTATTCAGTACTAGCTTTTTTTTTAAATTTAAATATCCTAGCATGAAATTAAAAAAAAAAATTTTTATAAAATTTATATTACCACTTTCTGTAAGTTTTAAAATCTTGATTTAGATTTTGTCACATTTAATTTTTAACAAACATCTTTAAACAAGTATCAGTATTCAAAATCGAAAAACATTCGATATTGTACTTCATTGTAATTAAAAACACATTAATACTTTATCAGTACTGCCTGACATAATTTTAAATACTTTTTGACCGCCTAAAAGTTTTGAAAAATGATAAAAGTTGATTTAAGAATAGATATTTAAAGTTTTTATCATTGTATCAACTACTTTAAATGAATTAAGCTGATAATGATCAAACTTAAATCATTTTTTTTTTCATTTTGAGATACTGAACTTTAAAGTTTTACAAGTGTATCTTTTCCCACTCTATTTTATTCGTGGTGTCCTTCGTTTGGTAGCAGAAATAGGCTGGAAGTGTATTAGTTTTCAAATAAGGTAAGAATGATTCGCATGAACATGAAAATCTGAGTAATTTTTTTTTTATTTATTTAAATTGAGGACTTTGATAAGTATTCGTGCATGGGCTTCATGTAGAATGCTAAAAAAATATGTTCATGTAGGCTCATGCTCAAATTTATTCAATTTATTCTTTGCAGTTAAATAGTGTTTTTTTTTAACTTCAGTTTTGTTAAAGTAAATGGATCGACTATTAAAAAAATTAGTTGTGAAATACCATTTTTTATTATGGTAAAAGAATATAAATAAATGTCATTAAAAGGTCTGGGATAATGTAAGTTGGCAACATTTTCCTAAAATAAATTTTTTTTACATTGATCCGCTACTTAGTATTGTCTTCAGATAGATTCCGCAATTCTTCTTGATTACTACATGATTCGCAGATACATATGATTACCGACATGAAAATCGCTGTGTTTTCTCTTAAAACTCTCACTGGAAAAATTTTAAAATGTGACTCATCATTATATTGCCCTAAGCATATAAATCATACTATTATAATACATATTTTTTAGCGAGATATTTAAGACACTTTCCTTCTGTTAAGGTAAAGACACATTTTGCATTCAAAGTTTTTAATGCAAATAATTCTTCTATGTTGAAATTAGATTTCAAATTTTTTCGCAACTTTTATTTTTCACAACTAATCAATTATTTATTGTACTTTTTATTGATTCTCGTAAATTAGTTTAATTTCTGGCTTAAAGTTCTAAATATTTTCTTAACCAGTTCGTTAACGGAACGAGATAGTTTTTAATTAAAAAGACATATCAAGGGCAATTGTTTACAGCATTACTTGTGACTTGATTATATTTTTAAAGCTAATTTGGACAAACTTCTTATAGAAATAAATCGAGTTCCAAAAACGGCTTCACTGCAAAGAAAAAGAAATGTTTTAATATATATGCTAGAAATTTTAGTTGAAATTTTAAATTAAATACAATCTACTGCCATCTTTAAAAAATATATGCAAAATTGTTTAGCAAATAAAAGGAAACTAAATTAATTTATTATGATTATACTACCATCGTTAAAAAAATGTATGCAAAATCGTGTTTAGCAAATAAAAGGAAACTAAATTATTTTATGATGATTAAAAAAAATTAAAGAAAATTTTAACTTTTAAACTGACAAAGATTCGTTAAACTTTTTATTTTAAATTGTTAAATTTATAGATCTGATAAAGCTCCCACTTTTACTTTCTGAGTTACACCCAATGATTTTGCTTCATTACACAATTTTTAATCAAAATCTTTAAAATTTTCTTAATTGCCTTTTTCGAATTTTATTTTCTCACTTTTATTTAAACGCCGTTTTTTTACTATTTATAAATACTATTCTCAGTACACTCGTAAACGATTTCTTATTTTGAAATGTTAAGAATTATAATCTGCTTCAAAAATGTATTTTTCCTTTTTTAATTTATATTACTCTAAAATGAATTTCCAAAATTAAATTTAGATAAATTAAATATAGATTTTGTTGGAATTAATAAAACGCGATATATTTTTTAATTCACTTCAATTATAAAGCTGCAAATGACATATAACCGATAAGCTGCATATCTGCATTAAAGTAAAAGGCATTAAAGCACAGAAATAATAGTCTATCTTAAAATCAGCTCTTCCTTAAAATAATAAACAGTTCGCGTGGGCAGTTACCTTTTAATAATTTACGTTTTATAATAACGTAAGACATAAGAAACGACTAACATTTTTTATTACCTTGCAATACTGAAAACTAATGACGTATTTACGCAATGACTGGTCTGTTTTTTTTTTTTTTTTTAAAGAAAACTAATGGGTTTTAAATAAAATTTCCTTTCAAAATAAAATTTTGAGAATTTTTTGTTGTTTGTTCCTTTGAAACTTTCCTAAAATGGGAGCAAATTATTTTCCGCGATCTATATGATATGTGCCTTAGGATAATCAAAAGGAAAGTTCAAAGATTCTTAGAACTATGGAATCATTCTTATTGGAATTATTATTTAAATATATTGCGAGGTATTGAATGAATTTTTTTTTTAAAATGTCTAATGAAAAATTATGAAACTGTTTCAGTGAAGTATAGTTGTTTTACATGTTGAACTTTTTAACAGCTTTGACAAATGTGTACACAGTTGTTATTATGATGAAATAATAAAATGATTTCTGTCTGTTTTATTAGCATTTTCTTTTTTTATATTTCAATACACTTTCATAATCACTCACCGGTCCTGGAAATGTCCGACGATTTTAAAAGTCAAAGAAAAAAAGAAAGGTCTATAAATGCATGGTTTGCTGTGTCGACTATAGGAAACCAGATAAATCATGTTTACAAAATTTGTCAACAGGAGGCGCTACAGGCAGAGAGAGACTTGTCAGCAACAACGAATGTGGTCAGAAACTAAGAAACATCTTTGTAAATATTCCAGTTGGAATAACCTGACATGCAATGCTATCTTCTTTTTATGACACCAACGCCATTTTTGGCAAGTTTTGGAAGTAATTTTGAAATTTGGTGCGGAAAAAGAACTTGTTTCTTAAGCAGAATACAGCTAGCCCTACGTTTATCTCCGTTTTATTCATTTTTCCTGTTCTTTCATTCATTAAACCATTTTGCTTCAATTTATTTTTCAATATGCAGACCATTTTCGAAACATTTGTTATCTATTTTTTCTTAATTCTATTAAAAATAACTACATTTCTATAACAAATTGCTACTGACATTATCCTTTTTTTTTCCAAAGAACATTTTTTACCAACCTCTAATGTCCGTAATTATAAAAAATCAATTAAAAGGGTTTAGTTGGATCTTATAAATATACTTGATAATTATAATCGAATGGTTTATTCGTTTATAATTATCAAGTTGCTGATTACAATTTGTCGATAATAATTTGTAAATATCAATTTATAAGTTACATTTTAGTAAAAATATCTATAAAAATAATTAAAATTAAATTATTTCATTTGTAAAAAAATATTTTTAACATTTTTTAAAATTAAAAGTATTAAAATATATCCGTATTTTTGAGAAATTAATTCAGAGATTTATACAAGAATTGGAAAATTTTAAATTAGTTCTATTACGCATGAAGAACATTTACTGTACAGCAAAATCAATAAAATGCTGTTTGTAAAAATAAAACCTACGAAAATATTAAATGAGAAGAAACTTTCACTTGGTCACTTTATTTATTTTACAAAATTATTAATGATAGTTTTTTATTTAAAAATTCAACGTTAATATATTAACCTGATTACACCTTGTGCTCCGTAATTGAATGAAGCCCAAACTTACATTTTTTAAAAATAAGTTTTAGATTTTTTGTTAGTTTTGTACTACATATTTTTCTAGGTAGTTGGGAATAAGTTTCTTCACTTCAAGCTAATTTCATGTTGCCAACTTAATTTCAAAATAATATAAATTATTTCAGACAATTTTATTTAAAATTTCAATCTTAATGGAATTTTTTATAATTTTAGTGGTGTTTATAAGTAGAGTTTTATAAATTAAAACAACTAGAACGCTTCACCCCTTCTTGCTCCGCTTCCCCACACCCCTTGTTTCTTCTCATTGATCTGTTTTTCCCCTTTAAAAATTGATAAAAAAATTTATCATAGAATTTACCATTTTGTGTACAAGTCATTTACACATATAATTATATATTTTATGAACAAAATGATGTGTTTAAGAAAAGTTACTTGGATATGAAAAATAATCAACTGCATTTAAGAAAAAAATATTTAAGGTGAGGATTACGGAATGTGCGACGCAATGAAAAGTAATAAATGAGAATTTTACTTGTTAACAATATAAAATGATAAACTTGTGACAGTTCATTTCAGAAAGAAAATTTTTTCTCTCTTAAGACCTTTATATTTCCAAAAATCTCGATATGAGTGTTATGATTTATATCCTAAATCTAATCTCTCTCTTTTATTTATTTATTCTCTTTTTATTACTTTTGACATCAAGACAAATGCGAGGTTATAAAATGAAAATCTTAAGAATGCGAAATTTTCTACAACAATGGATAAATAGACATTATTTAAATAGAAAAAAGGAAAAAAATGAATAAATTCCCATAAAAAAACTCTCATTAAGTTCAGAAAAAAAAGTGGCTATTTATACATGTCACATTTCAATTCTGTTGTAGGCCTTCAACTGCTGTCGAGCGGCCCGTATGATGTTTTTTACAACTAATTTAGCACTTAATATATCTTGGATAAATTATCGAATGTCAAATTTTTGTTCAATCGTATTTCCTGTACTGTTTTCTACATATCATCTTAACTTCCACTGCAACAAAAAATATATGTAACGTAAAGTTGAACACCCAAAGCAGAGGGGGTGGCGATTACGACTTTTTAATACAGAAAATTTCTCGGTTTGCATTTATTCCATTATTACTTCACGTGAGGAAAAAAATAGCTGATAGTACAGTTCAGAGCTCTTAAAAATGCACTTTTAAAAAGCGTTTTACTTATTTATTTGCAGTTTTTTTTAGTATAGGTGAATTTTTTATAGCAGGGTAATTTCCCTTTTTTTGTGATCAGTATTGGCTGGGCTGTGCAGATCATCTGATTTTATGACATAGGACTTTTTCTTCTGAAGTCTTAAAGTTAATGTCAACTTGTCCATAATTAATTACGCCTTGAAGTCGGAAATTGAGTGCTGTATTAACAAACTTGAGCTATATTTATGCAAAATAGTCATTGAAAATTTCATCATAAGACATCAAAATCACGAAGGGCATTTTTACCCAATGTGTTATTATATTAATTACCTTATTCTATTAATAACCTTACTTTATAAATTCATAAAAAATAATAATTTTTAATTAATAATTTGTATTTTATCTCAAAATTATTTGCATTTTTTGGACATCCTACATACAAAGATCTTTTAATTAATAGGAGTAAACCAAATTTAAGATATTTGTTGCTTTCCGACCCGATGTGTTATTCTATTAATAAGCCCATACTTTATGAATCCATAAAGGAAACTTATACTTTAAGAATCCATAAAAAAATTTATTAAACATTTGTATTTTCTCTCAAAATTACTTGGTATTTTTTTTTTTTTTGAAGATCCTACATACAAAAATGTTTTAATTGACACTAGAAAGACTGAAACTTAGTATATACCTATATAGCCCAAAAGCAGTCAAAATGACTGCATTGTGAAAGAATAAATAATGCATAAAGAAATTTGTTTAATTAATTTTTAATATTTCTTATATTATTTACAGTTATATAACAAGTTATTAGTAAATATTAATGATTAAAAAAATTTTTACTTCACTTGGAAAGAAAATATTAATTAATGCATTATTATTTGTACATTTTTTTGCAAATGAAAAACCAGTCAAAATGACTTCCTTAAGGCAAGATAGTGTTAAAAGAAGTTAAGATATGTGTTGCTTTCCATCCAGTCAATTTCAGTTTCCTTCAGATAAAGAAGATAGGATCCATCAAAACTACTCGAACAATAACTCCTAATAAATACTTAACGCTCCGCTTAAATCCGTACAATCGCTCTCAGCTACGACGATTGCGAACG